TGCTTATAAGACGATGCTAGAACATCCTGTAATTTTCTAGAAACTTTCTTTTTAGACTGAACACAGCAAGATCTCTCTCCTGTTTCTTAAGTCTCAAGATCTCGTGTACATATCAGTACCTGATAAGAGTTAAATTTCTTCCTGCACTAGTTTGTCACATACTATTGCAGCTATTCTGTGCAGTTTTAGAAGTATTCTCTATACTGAGTGTAGAAGGACTTACTGCACTTAAGGTAAAGGTCACTAAAATTGGATAAAATTGTGAGGTATGTTTAAAAAAAGGTGCTATCAAAGCAATCATTGAGCACAGAAGACAAAGCAGTGTAAGAAAAGAGTCTTTTCTGTCATATATACAGAAAAATAGTTCAATATAATTTCTTTAATCTTTGGACAGCAACCCAAACAAAGCTTGACTTCTAACTGACACTAAAAATAGGGGCTGGACAAGAATTTGCTAGATGTGTGAAAAGCAGGACAGTTTGTGTATAAAAACTGAAGACTGAATTGGATGCCTGGAGTGAAAATGCTAATGCATAAATAAATAAGGGAATTGACTGTTAGAGTAATCAGAAAATATAATGATCTAATTCTTGCTTTGCATAAAAAACAGGCAATTAACTTTCATTGACTCATGATGTGAAGAGTGATCAAAAGACGTAGATCCTTTGCTTTGGTAACTGAGTCTGTCAGCTGGGAAGAATGCTTTTCTCGACAGTTGATTAGGGGTTAAATGAGCTGAATAAAATTGGTAATTTTTGCTGCTTTTCCCACTTAGTGTAACAGCTATTATATGAAGCATTTTTCCTTACATTAGTTGTAACCGCTAGCTTTACCTGACTAACTCTGTTAAAAGAATTCATTTTGATTGACAGAGGTGTCATCTTGGTGTTCTCAGAATGAACAAAAATGTCCAATACATACAGAATCAGAGTGTTTTTATTTGTTTACATTGATAGCCCTCGATTTGAGTCCATTCTTAAGGAAACTGCTGCGCTTAGTACATGCTTGCAGTGTTCCTCCAGCAGCTTGGATGATGAAGGAAGGGCCACCTCGCAGCAGAAAGGACCAGCAGCATCTCCTATATTCATCATGTGGTGCCTGCTGAAATCTACAGGGAAGTATAGTGAAGTTTGGGTCCTGCAGACCAAACAGGCAGGACCTCCCAACAACTGTTTTCAAACTCTCTTTGGCATCAAGAGCCTCCTGGAGATGCTGGCTTGAGGTTGAAGTGGCCTCTCTTCCATTTGGTGCTCACTGGCTCTAGGTGATGGGACATGAATACAGTGGGGAGAAAAGAGAGCACATGATGAACAGGGGCAATAGGGAGAGCCCCTGTTTCCAGGGGAAAACCCTGGAAATGCCTCAAAAATACCTAAGCTAATTCTTATCTTGGTGCAGTCAATGGTTGTGGTTAAAAGGGCGCAGATCAGTAGTGACTGGCATATTTCCTTTGAGAGCACGGTAACAGGGAGGGATTGCTGTGGAAAACTTATGTAACACAAACAAGGGTACAGCTTTGGGGGCTGTTTCTCTTGATAAACACAGGAACTTGAATTGCTGCATAGCACAATGTTGTTTTGATCATTTTTTTGATTTGTGGATTCACTTCCTCCCACATATATATATATTTTTCCATAAACAGCATTAATCTCTTATTTAATGATCTTAAGGCTGCAAGAAGCCTGATTTTGTGGCCATCTTAGAAGCAGCTCATGCATTTAGGTTAAAATATAACATCTGCCTCCAACCCAAAACATCTACTACTGCTGCAATGCAAGTCCCTAGAGTACTGCGCGGGGCACTACTTGGTGTCTTTGTAACTGGATACAAACTAGCCTTTGTTTTGATAAAGAATGATATTCTCAGAGGCCAAATAATCAGAATCTCTGAGAAAAGAGCGTAATATTTCTTGGTTTGCATAGAGATGAAGACTTCTCTACGGGCAGTCTCCTGGCTGTGGCTCCGTGTCGCGTGACGCAGGGGAAAGCAGCAGTTGACAGCAACTCCGAACATGAAGCAGATGTTACATTTGGAAAACTTGCTAGATTATAGTCTCAGGGTGATTTTTTTTTTCTTTTTAACTTTAAATCAGAAGAGAAACACTAAAACATCAACAGGAAATAAAACGTTTTTATTGAATATCTGTGTAATATGTATGTTATTTTAACGACAATTGGAAATCTACTGTGGGAAGTCACTACACAAAGTGAAACAAAATATAAACCACCTCATCAAAAATGAAGGTAAAATACGGCTAAAGTTGTCAGCTCGCGGGCCACGAGCGAGTATGGCAGGATAAAACACCCCAAACATTTCTACAAGATACAGAGAAAACCCACACAGAGAAACACTCAAGCAGGCAGTAAATATACACAAAGGCAACTAGGATCTTTCTACAGCATCAGATTCTAATACTTCACACAGCTTTGTCAGAAAGGTACATGTGGCTTCTTTGAGGATGAAAATGTCATCTTGGTCATATAGCAGGTTCAGTCTCTGAGAATCATAGCACTTTACAACCCAGTTCTATGGTGACATTCAGTCTGGCAGTGTAGGCAGAGACAGCAGTAGGAATTACCGTAGCACAATGCACCGGCCTGGCAGCTCGAACCTGCGGCTATCCTGAATGAACAACTTAAAGGTTGGTATTGTGGAGCTGAATGTCTGTTCTCATGCTGGGAATCTGCCTGGCTAGCTCTTCTGCTCTTTGGTGGGCTTTGGTCCTTAAAGTTAAGATTTTTTAAAGTATTCCAGCTTGATGCTTTTGCATGTATGCGCCTGTTTAGATCAGAAAATGTCTCACTTGTGTTTTTTCCATGTTTCATGTAAAAAATAGAAAAAATGTGTCTTGCTATTCTTACTTTTGGAGGTGGGGAGTGATTCTTTTATTTATTTAAATTCTCCTCCCATTTCTTTGCTACTTCCCTTACCCCAAGGTACTGAAAATGTTGGTGCTTGGCCATCCCACTGACCCCTCAGACTGTCCCACCTTCCCCAGGAGCTGGAGGTTGTAGAATTTAGTTTTCAGTACAGAATTACGTGATCGCATCCATCAGTTTTTTTTTTCTTTTTCCCCCCTCTCAATAGTTTGTTTTAGATACCACTGGTAAGATGATTAATAGCATCTCATGCCTCCCTCCAAAAAGTATAGCAATTCCACATTTCTGGGGTAGCTTGCGGTGCTGAAAATAATGAGTCTTCAAAGCGTTATAAATATATTCACAGCTTGGAAAGGTAAACAAGGGGCCTCAAAGGATGGTACACAGGGTCGAAGCGATGCCCTAAATGACTTGATGAGATGCCACAAGCTGAGATGACGTGCTGTCTAGCCATAAGATGACTGTCTACAATATAGAGGGGCGGGGAGGGGCGTTGGAAATGTAGAATATTGCACAGGGATTGACAAAATGCTGCGTGGTCAACCCAGTCTATGTAACATCCTTGTTCCCGGCATGGCTCGCCAGTTCTAAATTGGTCCGGGATAACTAGAACGGCCTGTGCCATGGGGTCCTTCGGCAGTGCAGTAGAAGGGAATGGCAGTATTATTACAATATCACTACGGAATAAATTGATTGCTATCCACTGAGAAAACTACATTTCTAAGCACACACGGCAGTCACAGTGATACACAGAGCAGTCTTTCAAGACTCTTATGGAATGACTAATAGCTTCATAATAGTGCCATTTACTACATAATAACATTGAAAACATTTAAAAACTCCTCCTGAAACGAGCATCTAGTATACAGAAGAGGTTGCTTCAGTTTTCTAGAACTTGTTCTTTGTTTGTTTTCACTTTTTTTTTAAAGGACAAATTAAAACTTAAGTATAAATAGTATATAAAAGGTCACTAGCTGTTCTCTTTTGGCTTACTTTGAAGTGCATTTAGAACTATGGCTAAATTTTGTCATCTTCTGATGGGATTACAATACTGTCTGTTTACCATGAAACTATTTTGTATAATAAACTCACACGGCTGTGTCTAAAAAATATTCTGCATTCCTTCTTAATCTGAGTTAGTATAATAAAATATTTTGTTACAAAGTCTAATGTGCAAACTCATTATCGGGTGAACTCGTGGATGGAACTCACAGTACGCAGATTTTGCATAAGGGTGATGACGGAGAGCGGCGCTGGGCCCCGCGTCCCCTCGCGCCCCCAGCCCTGCACACCCCGCAGCGCGGCTGCCTCCTCAGCGCTCCAACTAAAGCCATTTCGGGCTGTGGCGTGTTCGCTTTGGAATATATACACAGGGAAACATTGCTATCCTGGCTTCTGGCTACGTCTCCTTGAGGTCAGCCACGGAGCTGCTCACATCATGCTAAGTTGCCTGTGAAAGAAGTCTACCAAGTGGGATTTGCCCCTCCATGATTCACTGTGAACGTGATGTGTGTTGTTAGGATGGTTCCCTTGAAAGCTCAGATTTAAGTTGTCCTTTAAGATGTCAGTGTAACACTACTAGTGCCTTACAAGTTAGATTTTTTTTTTTTCTGGAATGCAGACGATACAATAGTTACCCTATAATATATTATCAGCTCTCCTATATCTCAGTCAATTTACATAATTTAAAATAGAACATCTTATTAAAAACATCTAGATATACACAGATTAGGAAACGCTTACAACATACAAATACACAAACTAGAAATAAATTCTCAGCATACTGGTGTATATATACAACTGTGTGATACAATAAATAATTTCTGTCATGCTCTATCTACACATCATATTGCTTAAAAGAAGAGTAGATCTGGGGGGGCAGTCGTGAAATGAAGCGCCTTTGGAGGGCTCTCTACATTTAAAGTTGTGCAAATTAAAACAGGATTTTAAAAGTAACAACTGATCCGTGTCAGGAACACATGGCTGGAAATGAAAGGACCCATATTACTGAGGTATTTACAGATACTGGCTAAAGAGCACTATGTGGGCAAATGCAGAAAGGCTTCTTCTTCTTTTGTTTTTTTCTTCTTTTTTTTCTTTCTCTGTGTGTGTGTGTGTGTGATTTAAATTTAATTGCATTTACTTCTTGACAGCCAGCATGGCGTCGACCTCCTCCTCGGGCTGCAGCGTGTGCCACTGCGCGATGGGCCGCCGCGGGTTGGCCAGCATGTCCGACCAGTGCCGCAGCTCCGCGCCGGTGCTGTTGTAGCCCACAAACACCTTGCCGATGGCATCGTTCTTGCCAATCTTGTCATAGTCCAAAACAGTCACAACAATTTGCACTTTCTGCAAAGAGACACGGAAAGAGCAGTGAGCGCGCTGGGAAGGGGCAGGAGGAACCTCAGGGATGGGCAACTTGAGGTCTTGAGGTCTGCAAAGTGGGCAAGTGGCTGCCAGAGCAAAGTACCCCCAACAACAAGGAAATTCAACTCAGAGCTTTCAGCGTTTGCTTCTTATAACTCTTCCAAATAAAATCAGGTTCAAAACCAACTCGTTCACTTGAAATTTGCCCCCTTGCACTGAAGAACCTCCCGCAGGAATCAGGCAGTATTTGTCCTTTAACAGATACGTAACGTGTGGATTTTGTTGTTGTTATTGAGAAATCAGTTTGTTAGAAGTCTGCAGAGCTAACAGTGAGATCTGAAGCTAAGCTAAATGAAAAGTAGTGCAATTTAACACATCATTACTAGGTAAGCTGAGCTCAGCAGGGGAAATACCGAAATGGCTCCGCTCCAAGGGATCATTGGCAGTGTTTTAATTTTATCCTTTTGGTTGCCCTTCTACTTTTAATCTCTGTCCCAGCACGCTGGTCAGCTAAATTCAGAAAATGACATCCTTTTGGTTGCCCTTCTACTTTTAAACTCTGTCCCAGCACGCTGGCCAGCTACTTGCAGCTAAATTCAGAAAATGATAGCCCACACAGTTTATACACAGTTACATATATGTTTGTGTGTATGTATATACACACATGCATGAGTGTGGGTACATAGAATCCTTAAGGTTGGAAGGGACCTCTAGAGATCATCTAGTCCAACCCCCCTGCTCCTGCAGGGACACCCAGAGCACGTGGCACAGGGTGGCATCCAGGCGGGTTTGGAAGATCTCCAGAGAAGGAGACTCCACAGCCTCTCTGGGCAGCCTGTTCCAGGGCTCTGTCACCCTCACTGTCAATGTGCATAAATACACAGGTAACAGAGCTGAGAAAACAGCCTTTTTGCTCGAGGGCAGTCAATGCAGCATAACCCGCACAGTTTCAGGGCTTTGACAGCTCTGCCAGATGCATCGGAGTCCGACCTACACCCATGCCAGCACTAGGGCAGCACTTGTGCCATCAGAGCAGGAACCTCCGGCAAACACAGTTAAGGTGTTCCCACAAAACCCGTGGCAGCCCATCTGCCGGGGCTCAGTTTCCCATTCACTCAGACTGGGCCACACAGAGAGGTGATGTTCGAGTTAGGCATTCAGGCATGTGTTTGCACTCATTCTGCTCAATCCACTCATTAATATTTGTCAGAAGAGCCAGGCAGCTATTCCTCCAGCGGGATGGTGTTTTCCCCAACAGCATCTAAGACTTTATAGCTTTGGGCCAATTTTACTTAACTGTAAATACTTTTCCTCTCACACTTCAAATTTTAAAGACAAACATGCAGTTATTTTCGTGACTCATCCCATGATAAATACACACAGCTCCTCATCCCACACACAGCTTTTCTTACTTGGAGGAAGAAATGCATTGAAACACACTTCTTCCAGAAAAGTCTTTATGTTGAAGCATCAGGCTTTTAAATTTAGGGTTTTAAATAAAAGTAGATCTTGGAGTTCTTAGCAGCACACTTAATTTCATTGCTAGTAATAGGATGATTCTTTTAAGAGTAATTTACTCTTTAAAGCATGCCTGCAAGACCAGACCTATGAGGTTCCCTTAGAAGCTTGTGCAAATCACTGAGTCAGAGAAAGAGATGCTTCCAACAGGCACAGAAGTATTCACACAGCAGCTGATGACAAAAGTGCACCTCCGACTCAAGACTCTCTCTCACAAGAGCACTCATGATAAAAGGCAATATCCTTTAGCAAGTATTTCGAGATGCCAAAATGCTGTTTCAATGGTGCCATTTGCAATATCCTCCCTTTTAATGTTGATAGCACCTCCCCAAACACCTCCCCAAATGAACATCTCTGTTGTAGATGCGTAGTACAATCACAAATAGAGAAAGCAGGCATGAGACTTTTATTTTATGGGACCAGAAAGGTGCCTGCTGTACCTAGAAGACAGTTACTATTGGCTTTTTCGTTGTTGTTAATGATAGCAAACAAAGGGCATTGTAAAGAAAGACGCTTATTTATCGATCCATAAAGCAGTAAGAACAGCTGGCTCTGACGATTAACACTTGCGATGCCTTTCAGCTCATGGTGTCTGGCTTGACAAGGAAATGTGTGAGGAAATGTGTGTCTCTGCCCCTCGGTACTGCACACCAAGGAAGCAGCTGCAGTGCTAAAACCAAGCGGTGCTCGTGAAAAGCACCACT